TCCTCCGTCATGTGCATGTCTTTTTCTTTTTCCCTCTTCTTCTTTTTTTGCTCGCATGTTCATGCCGCATCCAAAGGCCACACACACACATCCTCTCCCTTTCTCTCTCTCACTCTATAACGAGTAGGAAGAGAAGAGGAGGTGAAAGTTTGTGCGGCATTTTTTTTATTAAACACGTTGACGGGGGGAGATGTTTTTTCTTCCTCTTTGGGTGGCGATTCTATCTCTGGCTGGCGTTACACTAACCTGCTTTGTCCTGAACTTGTGGCGGGAGGGGAAACGAAAAGAGGCGCTACTCGAAGTGGGACTCCCGGACATCGTGGTGGAGCCGCATCCACAACAGCAACAACAACAAGAAGAAGAAGAAGAAGAAAACCGACATGGGGTGCCAAGTAAAGCAACAAACCATCATGTTCGTCGTAACGGGGAGGAGGTGGTGGGGGTGTTGAGCCGCAGTCGTGAGGTGCATTTGGACGACAACAGCAGTGAAGACGGCAGCAGCGTGCGTAGGGACATCAAAGCGGCGGCATGTTCCGTGAAGCCGGTGGAGGCCGCGGGGGCGGTGACCGGCGTGGTGGTGCGCGGGGACGATCCGGAGCGGCTGGTGGTGCAGTCTTGTGGGGACGTCGCAAGAGAGTCTCCATGCACGTCATTCGTGACGCATCCATCGTACTTGCCGCGGGATGGTGGAAGCGAGTTGCAAAAGGAGGCCAGTTTTCAAAGTTTCAGTCGGCCCGTCACACCGGAGAGTGAGTCTACTGCTCCTGCCGCTGCTCCTGCTGCTGCTGCTGCAACACGTTCCACGCCTTGTATCGATATTGGCATTTCTATGACGAATTGTTCGCCTCTTTCTTGCGGGAAAAAGGTACACCACGGCAGTTCTATGTTGCATGACGAGTTAATGCAGACAAATACTTCTGAGGCGAGCGAAGACGGCTGGAGACGAGGCGATGTGAGTGAAGCCGTCGAGAAGAATAGCGTTGAAGCCTCAGGTTACACGTTCAACAATTTGCTTATGTCCTGCAACGGCTCTGATGAGGCCGTGTGCCACGCTGATGGCGCGCTTTCAGGAGACGGCGGTTACAAAATGGGGAAAGGAAAAGTTGTCGACCCCTTCTGGCCGTCATTTCAGCGGCATTTTACGACAGACGTGGGTAGCACCGTGTATTCCACGTGCAGTGATGATGGGGAGATGTCTATTTGTGATTTTGAGAAGAACCCAACAGCCGCACTCAGCGATGCGACCGATGGGACGCCGCGTATGCCACCGATTGGGGCGTCTGCCGCAACAGCTGCACCATCCACCAGCGGTGTGCTTTTTTTGCCTGCAGCAGTACCGTTGGGAAGTATGCCGTCCTCTGAGCCTGTTCCCCATGCCTTTGTGTCATTGCATTCACCGCTCGCAGCAACCCCATCGACGGTAGGGAATCAAAGTGGCCCCACATTCAAGGGGAATTTCAAAGTCGTGACCTCAATGGACACGTAACGGTGGAGAAGGAAAATATGGTTGTAATAGAGCCGTCATTGTTTTTGAGGATGGTTCCTTTTGAATATACATCAATATATTGTGATGTATTTTTCTTTTTTTTTTTTTTGCCTTTACGGTTTGATTAGTTGTTTGTTTTCTCATATACTTTTTTTTGGCTCTCTCCACCTCTTACGGGTGCTTTGAGAGGCCGTTGTTTGTTTACATTTGTATTTGCGTGCGTGTCTCTGTGCGTGTTGATGGCTGCTGGCTGTAGTGCGATGAGGTGCCCATGTCTCTTTTCTCTCCCTCACTCGCTTCGTCTGCAGCACAGTGTTAGTTTGGCCCTTTTTTATTTCAGCCTTCATTCGGTGCAGGCCGTGTTAGTGTCTGGGTTGTTTTCAGCACGCATCAAATTTGTGAAACGAAGAAGAAGAAGGGGGTGGAAGAAGCATCAGCGGACAACAATGGTGGAGGAGTCATGCAAATATGAGGAAAAGGAGGACGAAAGGGATCGGCCATGTGAGGAGGTGGTGGCTGCCAGTCGTCTCCGCGAGGCGTACGCTGCGGTAGATCGCGAGAGTTTTGGTGCCCTCGGTGTGCAGGCTCTCTCGCCCCGCATCCCATGCGCCTCCAGTCTACTGGAGACATTCCCGTCACTCCGCGAGCTCTTTACCGTGACGCTTAATCTTGAAGTACTGCTGAGGCGCCGCGAGGGGGACGCCCTTCGCACCATTCGGGAGAAGCACCTCAAGTGGTACAAGCGCATCTTTCACACCCTCCACGGCGTGCACGACATTCACGCCCTCCTGCGGTATTGGGTTAAAGGCATGGTTCTCTATGAGTTTTGTGAGATTAACCGACACATGGAGAAGGAGGACGACGAAGAAGAAGAAGAAATTAACAACGATACAGGAAGGCAAAATTGTGAAAGGGGAGGAGTGATGCGGGCGGCAGATTATGCTATGGAGTTGCGAGAAGCACTTCGCCGCTTTCCCAAGTTGGTGGCCTTTTTGTTTTTGTCAAAAAGCCAGGAATATTGGGCGCAGACACTCAGTGAGGTGATAAGAGAAGATGTGGGAAGTAGTCTCAGTGATAGGCTGAAGCTAAATGTGCTGCAGCGTCTGTTGATGAAAGTCCTGCAGTGCCAGCGACAGCGAAGGTATGGTGTGTTAAGATGTGAACATTTCGCTACTGTGCATCCCCATTGCCACAATAATGGCAATCCGTTACATGTAGTTGAAGAGGTACGGCAGAAGCTGACAGTTGGGAATCCCTCTGTGGACATATCTGAGCTTATTCAGCTTTTCTCGCATCCCGCACGAGATGCAGAGGAGCGTCTTGTGATAACAGTCTTGCAGAGTGTCGTGCATGGCTGCCGAGGGTTCTTTCAGCGGGAAGCGCTGTTGTCATTGCTGGAACCTGGCATCAGCGAGGAGTCACGTCATGTATTTCTTCTCAAGATATGGCCACAGTATTGGAACAATGAGCTTGAGGTAATGCGTGAGCTGCCCGCTGTGGAGGAGGCATGTGTTAAAGGCATCCTTGTGAAGCTTGTGTTCTTCTGGGAAACCGGCAACGATGTTTCCGTGCAAGAAACATCCAACGCCCCATGTGGCCTGCGTCCATATTATATCTTCCATCTAATGCGGGCGACTCTCCAGCCTCTCCTTGATGCACTGTTTGCCCTTGATGCCGCCGCGGAGGAAAGTGAGACGCGAAGCACCTTGGAACTGTTGCTTGACATCGCCAATAGCATGGCCTGCATTGAGGCACCCCCACGACGGACGCTGCGGTTGTGGGATCAAGTTGGGGCTGGCGCAGCGTTGCCGAGCAGCATTCCGAGGGAGGTTGGGTACGTTGTGATGGCGGATGTGTGCCGTGCATTTCTGGAGGTACGACTTCCCACGGCGGTGGATCATTTTCTTAGCGGAGGTGAAATCCCTGAAGAACAGCGGTGGCCGCGGCTTATCGCCTACCTGATTCGGACTGAACATGTGTTCCATCGCCTGTGCGAGATGCGATTGCTGAAGGCAAAGCTGCTTGACAACTGCAGCGCAGTGCCATGCTTCTACGGCATTGCGAAAAACGCCATTGCCAATCAACTGCAACGAAAAAGGAGTGCGGATTTGTTTGTTGAAACTCTTCTTGGCATCATGCAGGCGTATCTTCTGCACGGAAGCCATGAAGAGGCAGAGGTGCGACGTGTTGGCGGTGGTGGACGGGCAAAAACGGTGGTGGTGTCGCTGCACAACGAGGACGAGGTAATGTCGGCTGTGCGACTTGCTTTTAGTGTCTCTTCAATCGACAGATTTTTGCGTCTTTACAAGGAACTTCTTGCCTATCGACTTCTCTTTTATGCGGTGGGGCGAGCGCGTGACGGCAGTGTGGACGCAATGGAGGCACGGCGGGAGAAACTGCAGACGGAAAAGCTGGTGTGTAAGTACCTGCATGAATTGCTTCCACTCGAACGCAACGCAATACAGCAGATGATTCAGATGTGTATGGACATGGAGACCGGTAAAAATGCGCCTGAGGGATATGATCCACAGGCACTACAACCGGAGCAGTGTGGACACGGTGCAGAGACTGTTACTGTCCGGCCTACACTGAGGCTTCTTTCACGCCTTGCGTGGCCCTCGTATCCTTTGCTTACAGATGTGCCACAACCTCTGCATAATGCCATGGATCAGTTTGCGCGCTTCTATCACGCGCAGTACAGTAATCGGCGCGTTGTGTGGCTTCGCACCTCCATGGAGACCATCACCTTCACCGTAGCATACCCGCAGGCAGGGAAGGTCATTGTAGGCTCGTTGGAGTTGTTTAATATTTTCCAATTTCTCAGCGAGGCGGGTACTTCAGGCACGACGTGGACGCTTCTCGCCCAGCGCATTGGCAAAGACAAAACTCTGTTGCAGCGAGGACTGAAGAAACTCATCCATGACGGTTTCTTCAAGATACAAATGGGCTCTGGGGAGGAGAGCGTGGCATTGAATGCCGCCTTTAAATCACACAAGCCGCGCTATAACTTCCTTCAACCGCCGCCGCGGGTTGGGGCGTTATTGGAGGAAAACGGAATTATTAACGAAGAAGTGCATCGCTCTCGCATAGCTTCCATACAGGCAGTCATCATCAAGCACATGAAGAGCGTGCGTACCTGTCTGTACGATGAGCTCTTTTGTTGGACACGGCAGCAAAATCCCCAGTTTCAGTTACAAAACAGTGACTTTAAGTTGGCTTTGGAAATGTTAATCGAGAAGGAATTCGTGCAAAGGGACCCGTCGCAGAAGCAACGGTTTGTGTACAAAGCCTGAATTTTCCCCGTAGTGTGTGGCCGAGGCGTGGCGTGTAGCATGAGGGTTTTGAGCCTCCGACCGGAGTCCTCTTTTCTTCTTTTTTTTTTTTCTTTTGGAGTTCTTTATTTTTTCTTTCTTCTCCTTTTCTTTTTGAGGGAGCGGGGGGGGAAGAAGGGGGGTTGCGCTGCGGCGGCTTCGTGACACGTGCAGAAGGCTAAAAAGTACGGTGGTGTAACATCATGCAACTGAGGGAGCAGAGGGCTGTGAAGCAGAAACACGCTCCGGTGAATCTCTCTGTCAGGGCGTCCGCTGCAACGCTCTTTTTGACCTCCGTTAAGCGGCT